CATTATAATTCAAGTTGTTACATGTTATTGTACAGTCGACCCCCTCTTAACGAGCATGCCTGTTAGCGACTAATCGCTTAATGACGGGCATCCAAAGAGCCCATTGTGTAGTGTATAGTGTCGTGTGTGTAATGTATAGTGTAGTGTATAGTAGTGTAGTGTATAGTGTAGTATGTGTAGTGTATAGTGTAGTGTATAGTGTAGTGTATAGTAGTGTAGTGTATAGTAGTGTAGTGTATAGTGTAGTGTATAGTAGTGTAGTGTATAGTGTAGTGTATAGTAGTGTAGTGTATAGTAGTGTAGTGTATAGTATAGTGTTGTGTATAGTGTAGTATATAGTGTAGTGTATAGTAGTGTAGTGTATAGTAGTGTAGTGTATAGTGTAGTGTATAGTAGTGTAGTGTATAGTAGTGTAGGGTATAGTAGTATAGTGTATAGTGTAGTGTATAGTAGTGTAGTGTATAGTAGTGTAGTGTATAGTATAGTGTATAGTAGTGTAGTGTATAGTGTAGTGTATAGTAGTGTAGTGTATAGTGTAGTGTATAGTAGTGTAGTGTATAGTGTAGTGTAGTGTGTAGCAGAGGTGGGACAAAGTCATTGTTATGCAAGTCCAAGTCGAGTCTGAAGTCATCAAATTCATGACTCGAGTCTGACTCGAGTCCAAGTCACATGACTCGAGTCCACACCTCAGAGGTGGGACAAAGTCATTGTTATGCAAGTCCAAGTCGAGTCTAAAGTCATCAAATTCATGACTCGAGTCTGACTCGAGTCCAAGTCACATGACTCGAGTCCACACCTCTGGTGTGTAGTAGTGTAGTGCCTCCAAAGAGCCCAATGTGTTAGCTTACCAACCGTTCCCCTGTGAACAACGGGCTGTTGTGGGTACAGTAAATATTAATTAATCCATCGATTAACCATGTTTATTTTAATAGTATGTGTTAATAATGCTGTTACCATTCTTATGTATGAATGTCCATTGTTTAAATATTATAAACTACGTTTTTTGGGTGAAAAGTGGTCACTTTCGATGCTATCGGAACAAATTAAGCCGTTAACGTCTATTTCCTATACTCGCTGAACGACCGGTGTTCGTGGAACCAATCACCGTCGTTAAGAGGGGTCCTACTGTATTCTGAAAGTTTACATTAATTGCAGAGACAGTAATGGACTGACTAATGACATAACTAGTGGCAGTCGCTGAAGTTAATTGTAACCGTGGGGTTTTTTTGATGCCCATTCCAGTTGCTGAGTCGACAGGTAGACCTCGCTGTTTTTGCGAACATTTTACAGGGTGCTTAAAAATAATGTTAACACTTACATAATGGTAAAAGAACGGATAATACACCATAACATGATAACAAATGTATCTATAATAGCTTCAAAAAAGTCAAAGAGTCTCCACGTGTTCGTCATCGTTGTCAACGCGTGCCTGGAATCTTATCCAGGTGGTCTCCAGAGGTCGGAGGCAAAACATTTTTCGTGGTATTGTTGCAATTTCTCGGAAGTGTTAACATTTATTTCAAGCACCCTGTATTTGCACCAGTTTTCAGATGAAGCTCACTTGGTTGGTTTATTTCGGGTACAAGACCCGTGGAACCAGGCAGCTATTGTTCAATGGCAAGTGCCTTACCCGGAAATGGAGTTCTTCCAGAACTGATAGTTTAACACGCAGGAGGCTTTCGTGATCGGTATCATCCATAATCCAGGTTTTTTTGGGGTTAGATCGCATAAATATGAACCCGTCACCACCCGGGCGGCAACCAGATTTGTATCTGCCGCCTGATGATGCCGGTTGTAATTACTGGTGAAATGTCGTACTCAGATTGTAAATGTTGTGGATTTGCTCTCCAACACACCGGTTAGTGCTGTACTAGTATACTACACTATACACTACTATGCACTACACTATACACTACACTATACACTACTATGCACTATACTATACACTAGTGCTGTACTAGTAACGAATTGGTCACGTTCTGTTCACGTGACAAGCCTTACTAATTGGCTGTGTCGGGTGGTGGCAGGTTTAACATTTATATTTACGCGATCTAACCTAAAAAAGAAATCTGTATAATGAATGGACTGATAGGTAAGAAAAAAATAAACCACCATAATTCTATACAATAGAACTCGAGTAGGCGATCCAAAATAACATTATGTATGCGCCTACTCGTGAGAAGAGCTCACACATGACATTTGTGATCGACAAGAAAATCAGGTTTCTCACAAGTGGAAGCTTTTTTTCAATTTAAACCTATTTACAATAATCTATGCACGTGTGTTTATACCATAGATAATTAAATTTGTAAATGAATAACTTCATAATATAATCATATACACTGGCCTGTCACCATCTAGCCCTTGATCGACAGTTTCACGAGACAGGACAGAGCGGAATAATGATTCATAATCACGAGTTGAAATTGTAAACGATTACATAGAACTATAAACTAAACTATTTTTTTTATTTTACGAAGCAAGGCCCACTTTTTCAGAAGCGGCCTTGCCACTAATGATAGCTCAACGAAAGTGGCTTATCACGTGGTAATGTATAGCAGCAGCCACAGACTCTCGACGCGTGACTGTTGATATTCTTAGGTTTTTTCGGTTAAGTCACGTAGGTAAAACATTAAAATTAATCACTTGATACAGCTATCGCGCTGTGACGGTTCCACCTGAAGACGGAAGCTTGTGTTGCCTCCGAAACGTCGTAATTTTTATTTTATTTTTATTTAACTTTTATAATTAAAAAATTACCTACGTGACTTTACCGAAAAAACCTAAGAATATGAATCCTTGCAGTCACGAAAGCTTCAAATCTAGCGTGACTGTTGATTCTAAATTTGGAGGGAAAACCGGAGGACCCGGAAACAAAGCCACGCAAACTCCAAGTATACAGCAGCAGGCGTCAGGGTGGGGGTTGAACCCATGACCCCTCCTGTATACCAGGCGAGGCAGATAACGTCTCATAGATGGGCATGCGTCATCCAGCCCGTGTTAGGTGAGTGTACCTTTGCTCTTGAGCACCAACTTCACAGCAGCCAGCTTAAAACCTGTTTCTCGTGATTGCTCACAAACCACGCATTTTGTTTGTCACCATTTCCCTTTTGAGAAGGAGGGTTAGGTGGCGGGGTCCCTTCCTCCTCCTCCCCCCTCCGTAGAGTAATTCTCGGTAGTGGATCTATTTTTTTTTTACCTTTAACGTTATCCGTGCCGGTGTAAAACTGCAAACCTGTTGACCCCTAACGATGGTGTTCGCATGAATGCTCATGTGACACGCGAGACGCTACTTCACAGGTGTGTGTGTCTGTCTGTCTGTCTGTCTGCTTTCCTTCCTTTGTTGCAAGACAATAAAGGTTACGTGCGTTTTCGGACCTGCCGGACTCGATTGTGTGCGCGCTTTGTATAAACATCAGCGCTGGAGAGAGACAAAGGCGGCCAGGGGCATGTGCTGCCAACATTGTTACTTGTACGGCCAAACGCGACTGAACACGGCGTGGGTACGATGCGGCGAGTCAACTTACGATTGACAATTATTATCGTACGGTGGTGTGGATGACCACGTGAGTCGATAAAATCACCCGGAATTCCTCCCCCCCAGATCTCGTCACATCTCAGAAGCTGAGGATATTTATAGCATCGGGGGATACCTGAGCTCTCGATCGGGTGACCGTGTAATTAAAAAAACAGTTGCTATAGGCTGCGGCGGTGCTACGTTTTCAACAGAGGGCATTGCAGAAGAAGAAAAAGAAAATAAACCATTGTTTGTCGTAAATGTTGTGGATTTGCTGTCCAACACACCGGTGTGCTGTGCTAGTAACGAATTGGCCACGTTTTGTTTACGTGACTAAACCTTACTAATTAATTGGCTGTGTCGGGTGGTGGTGGGTTTAACGACACATTTATATTTACGCGATTTCACCCACACGTGTACACGTACACGTCGTATTTTTTTTACGAAGTCCGTGGAAGGAGGAGGGGGAGGTTGGTCACGCTGCACATGTGTGTGTGTTACATGTATGTTGAACTTCTTTCGCACCGTACGTGGCCATCGGAAGGTCGGGGGGGGGATGAGTGTGTGAGTGATTCATGAATATGTTTTGGCGGCTTAGATGGCGTAAATCTAAATTGTGTGAACCCACCACCAACCAAACGACACGGCCAGACGAGCAATGTTGTCTTGTCACGTAAACAAAACGTGCCAATCACAGTCGTTACGACTTCAGCAACAAACAAACAGAAAAAAACACACACACACACAGCGGTGTGCTGGAGAGTTAAATCCACACGCACGCGCGCGCACAAAATATTACAATTTGAGTGACGCCGTTTAAAGCCAAAGGAACGAGTGAGCTGTCAGTTTAACGCGTAAGGCTTTCGCGAGCAATATCATCCATAATAGAGGGTTTTTGGGGGGGGGGGGGGGGTTAGATCGCGTAAATATAAAAAAAAAGATATAAGAATATTTACGGGATCTAACCCAAAAAGCCCCTCTACTATGAATGAGTTTACACCATTGGAACCTCATTTGCCAGTAAAAAAAATATGATAATTGGTTTTTTACCCTTCTATCTGGCAACAAAACGGACCTTTTGGCGTCATCTGGTCCAACCCATATGAGACTAGGCTCTAAGGAAAGCTGTCTCAGGTGTGGACCAATCAACTTCAAGGACAGTGCACATTATGACTGCAGGTATTGGGGTTTATGCAAACATGACTCCTTGTAAAAAAGGTGTCAGTTTTGTTGCCAGATAGATGGGTAAAAAACCAATTATCATATGAGTGAGTTGTTGCGTCTGACGCCGGGTTGACAATGACAGAGCGTGGGCGTTTTTCATTCTCCGTGTGGATTGTTGCTGCTTGCTACTGCTTGCTAATGCTGTGCGCACATTCTTCTTGACAAGTGGGTGGTGGTGATGATGACGATGATGATATTGGCTGTCCTGGAGGAACCGCCCAAACCCCGTGGGGTTGGGGATGCCACGGCGAACTTTAAAGTCCCAGCCGGGCAGCAACAGCCACACACACACAGAGCCACACGCACACAGAGCCACACTCACAGAGCCACACGCACACAGAGACACACACACACAGAGCCACACACACAGCCCCACACACACAGAGCCCCACACACACAGAGCCACACGCACACACAGAGCCCCACACACACAGAGCCACACGCGTGCTCTGGGTTGCTGGCTGTGGTGTATTTAACGCACAGGCGCAACAAACCACGCTCATTCCTACAACACCGCGTGCTTGCTGTTGCTGCTGCTGGCGGTGTCTTCGGTATCACCTTCCTTCCTGCCAGACAAGAGAGTCGTAAGTTTGAACGATGAATTCGCGTATCGCTTGAGTTGGCTGCCTCTGTATAGTTGAGTTTAACTGCTCGGCGTTGATTTGCTCACACACCACGCTCACACGCACACACACCACACACACACGCCACACACCACACACACACACCACACACACATCACACACACACACCACACACACACACACGCCACACACCACACACACACCACACACACATCACACACACACGCGCCACACACCACACACACACACACCACATACACATCACACACACACACACCACACACGCACGCACGCACACGCATACACACACCACACACACATCACACACACACGAACACACACACCACACACACCACATACACCACACACACCACATACACCACACACACACACCACACACACACACCACACACACCACACAGCACACACACACAGCACACACCACACACAGCACACACACACACCACACACACACCACACACACCACACACACACACCACACACACCACGCACAAAAAAAATTGTAGCTCAGCTTAATCCGGACTGTGACTGACTGCGTGGTGTGACTCGAAAAGTTGTCAACTCAAGTCGCCCATCCTTCCACAAAACCCCTTGTGGTATTTAACTTCATTCCGCTCTCGCGTACGATCGCAGCAAATCCGTACAGGGGATTAAAGAATAGTTTTGACACCTTTGCTGGCAATACATCAGGAGGTGTTAAAATGTTCCAACACCAAACTGAAACATTTTGCAAGGAATCATGTACTTACTGCGTTAACCACATATCCTTGTGGTTGTGAACATGCAAAAAAAAAAAAGCTATGCTCTGGTAGTATATGATGATGCGTTGTCTTTGAAACTGATTGGTCCACACTGAAGACAGCTTTTCTTTAGACAGTCTCGTCTCAGTGTTAGAACAGAGGACAGCGCCAAAGGGCGACCGGCACAAAGAGAATGAAAGAGGTTTGTAAAGGAAACGAGCCCTTCCAAATTGCCGACTTGAAGACACTTGCTGGCGGCAAGGGTCTTCTCACCAGAGGGAGCTCTCTCTCTCTCTCGAGCGCTCCGGCTAAAATGGGATTTGGCCTACTCTTCCACGCTGGACCACCAGACGTCTTGGGAAGGGCCCCATCGACCCAGAACTGGTGCGCTGTGACCCATTGATACTACTGTGCAGTACTGCTTGGGTGGACCGAGTAACAGGGGGGAGGATTAACATAACACACAAGTTGTATCGGCTGCCACACCTGGAGATCGAATCTAACCGTAGACCTTCTTGGGATTGTAAGCTCATCGTGCGAACCATTAGCAAACCACTGCGGCAAACCCATTTAAAACGAATAGGGTTTACAGTGTGACAAGACTGTTTAACCAAAATAAAATGTGTTCCTGGGTTGTGTTATTTCATAATTGCTTATGCCTCAAAAGTACAGAAAATGGCTATTATTTCAATCTTGATTTGAAGCTTTCGTGACTGCAGGAATTCATACTCTTTGGTTCTTTCGGTAAAGTCACGTAGGTAGAAAATAAAATCTGTTTTAAACAGTCTGTCTCAGCAGCAGACCATGCTTTGCCACCTGATGACGGACGCTTGTGTTGCGCCCGAAACGTCGTGATTTATTTTATTTTCTACCTACGTGACTTTACCGAAAGAACCAAAGAGTATGGCTATTAATCCCCCACAAACTTTGCTTTTGTGACAGGACAGTGATATTTTGAAACGTACCTATTTTCAATGAGAAAACGTGTGCGTTTGTGTCATTCCTTCACGTAAAGTCCTGGTCAGAAAATGCAAAGTTAATGGGGAATAATAGCAATTTTCTATACTTTTTAGGCATAAGCATTGAAAAAATAACACTTACAACAACCCAGGGACAAAAATCGTGTTACATCGTGATTGTCGAAGACTTATTGTGTGCGGTTCGGTCGTAGGCAAATGTTCAGCACTGTACTGTTGCGACTTTGCGTCCGTGAAAGATGCATATTTGTGATAGACACCTTCGGGAAAATGTACGACGAGAAGTGAAAATCTACAACTCGAATTCAAGGGTCATTTGCAAAGGTCACCCAGAGAGCATTGTGGTTCGGGGGTTAGATTAGCTGACCCCATTTGGTGGGATTGTAATACATGTTCAAGTCAACGAGCTTCATAGTTTGTACGTTTCTACAACATTTGACTGTGGTCCATATTGCTTAGGTTGATTATGGAATGAGATCATTATTCTTTAATGAGCGTCTGCGTATAAAATGCGAGTGCCTCTGTGTGTGTGCACATGTACCTGTGTAGCCGTTTTGCTCGTTTCTTCGTGTGGGTTTACAAATGTGAATCTGTATGCGTGAGTGGCTTATTCATACCTTCCATGCAAGTTTTATTAGTGTGGTACGTAAAGTCTATACAGTATCAACTGTGTGGATCTATCATATAATTAGCTAGAAAAGCTTTAAAATATGTGGGATGCTTTGTTTTAATAGTCAATGTGTTTTGGTAGGACAACCCGAATAAGCTTGGCATAATAACAGGGTTTTTTTCTGGCAACAGAACTAAAACCTTTTTACAAGGAAGCATGTGTGCATTAACCACAATATTTGTGGTCAAAATGCAAACAAAAAACACACTGATAGTATATGCATTGTCCTTGAAACTGATTGGTCCACACCAGAGGCGGCTTTCTTTTGAGCCTAGTCTCAATTGGTGCTCGACCAGAGGACGCCAAAAGGCGTACAGCTCAAAGACAATGTTGCACTATCAAAGTAATGAGGGCTCGGGGTGAGCATCTACATTATTAGACCTCCTCTGGTCTAGCACCAACTGAGACGAGGCTCAAAAGAAAGCCGTCTCTGGTGTGGACCATTCAGTTTCAAAGACAATGCATATATTATCAGTGTTTTTTTTTGCATTTTGACCACAAGTATTGTGGTTAATGCACACATGATTCCTTGTAAAAAGGTTTCAGTTTTGTTTGCCAGAAAAAAGGGAGAAAACCCTATTATTGTATTTTGGTACTGGCAAAGGAGGTCTAATGATGTATAAGCTTGTCATATTTCAGCTATTGAAAAAACATATCCTTTGTACACCAATGTAGCCCTTAAAAGAAACGAAACACATTTCTTAATAATGTGCCAGTTTGGTTGTTTCTAAACATGCCCCTTGTGTAAATGAAAACGTCAAATGTAATGTTCAGTATAACTCTTTGCCATTTTTTTTATTTAGTCTGTTGCCATTAGTGGTTACGGATGCGAACGAAATTATATTTACATTGCCATTAAAATGTGTTGACAGCAAAAATGATGGGTGGTGACGGTATACGGTAAATAACTAAATCTCGCATTACACCCCACTGGAGATTAAAATAGGCCGCTGCTCACTACATAGCACGAAAGGTACGTTGTTATGATGCATTTTGGGAATTATTAGATTAAGTCGGTGGTTACTAAAACATTATATGAGCTCGATTTGAAGCTTTCGTGGCTGCAGGAATCCATATTGTGAACGAAATTATATTTACATTGCCATTAAAATGTGTTGACAGCAAAAATGATGGGTGGTGACGGTATATGTTATATCATAACAGTCTGCCTCAGCAGCAGACCATGCTTTCCCACCTGATGACGGATGCTTGTGTTGTGCCCGAAACGTCGTGATTTATTTTATTTTATACCTACGTGACTTTACCGAAAGAACCAAAGAGTATTACATGATATTCTTAGGTTTTTTTCGGTAAAGTCACGTAGGTAAAAAAAAAGTTAATAAAAGTAAAATAAAATAAAAATCACGACGTTTCGGAGGCAACACAAGCTTCCGTCTTCACATGAAGACGGAAGCTTGTGTTGCCTCCGAAACGTCGTGATTTTTATTTCATTTTCATTTTACTTTTATTAAAAAAAATTTACCTACGTCATTTTTATTTTTTTACCTACGTGACTTTACCGAAAAAACCTAAGAATATGAATACTTGCAGTCACGAAAGCTTGAAATCTAGAGCTAGTACAGCTTATTTGGGGGTTTCCTGGGCATTCAGGCGTTGGCGGGCTGAAATATATTTATTGGGAAGCACTTGTTGTACCCATGTGTTTTCACGCACTGATTGGCAAAGAACCAAGCGGTGACACCTGAGCAGCATATCCTACCTGTCGGTATATAAAACCCTTGAGATATTCGAAATGTCCACACGGTATGAAATATAACGTGGCTTGCTTCGATAACACTGGTCAAAAAAAAAACAACTTTTTTCTGGCCTGGACTTTTGCAGCTCATTTTATGCTATCGGCATACCCCATTTTCATTGATTTTACCCGAAATTAACTCTTTCACTTATGATTGCAAGTTTTTGCAAGTCAGTGACTGCTTTAGTGTTAAAATATGGTGCTGTATCTTTAGGATAGTGTGTTTATAATATAATTTTATGTAGATATCCACATATATTTAATATTTTTCTTCTGCAGTTTTTATTGAAAATACAATACTTGATATCTAAAAAACCTGATGTGATAGACAAAAACCTATGCCAGATTTGGAATCAGCACCCCAAAATTACCTTAAAAACAGTTGGAATACCTAATGCCAGAAAAAGTGTGTTCACCAGTGTAATCCTTTCCTCATTTCTGGGGGTCGGTCTGGGTGCCAGTGTTCATGTGGGGGGTTGCGGTCGGTTTGCAAAGCCTTTCGCTGGCCTGGGAAAATCTCCTTTACTTGCAAGGCATGGGAAACACTGTGCCTGACCCATTTTCAGAGTTGATAATGACAATGAGCCATTGGTTTGCCCTTGGCCCTCTCTCTCCCGCCATTGGATTTCAATGCATTCTCTTGTTGTTACCGAATCTCTCATGCCAAATGCTCCACTGAGCATTTGGCATGAGAGATTCGGTAGTTATCTGGTACCAACAGAGGTCTCCTTTTACCAACTCGTGCTGGGTTGTTACAAGGCAAGTAACGATTCATCTTCGAGTGATTCGATGAATTGTCACTATCCGGGGCTGTGGTTTCATGCGAGTATCAATAATTCGTCAAGTTTGTACGGTTTGTCTCGTATAGAGTACTGTGTTTCTTGTTCTTTGCTGTATTGTCTTTCTCATATGTTGCGCCTCTATCGTTTCTAATGCCTCATTTGTTACATTCGATATAATTTGCCAATATATTGAATAACCAGTTCTTATACGCACTGTTCGAAGCATGTTTCGTGAGTGGAAGAATTTATTTTTATTGGCGAACCCCCTATGCATTGTTGCATGGCAAGTTATAGTGGTAAATTGTCTCTGTGCGCAAATGTGAATACATTTCGTGGACAACTGTGGCCGAGTGATTCACTGTGCCACGTACACATCCATGTAAATGCGCCTCCCCGGAGGTTAAGTAACTCAACATTTACATGAGTACCTGGTACAGCCATGACGATGATGGTAATTCCGGGGAGTTGACGATAACCAAGCTTTGGTTGATAAAGGCCCCCCACCACTCAATCATTCACTCGCTGGCCACAACAAGCATGAACAAAACGGATTCATTGTGTTCATTACTATGCCAACGTGCTTGTTTTTTTTTAATCAGCTGCTCGTTGCAGTGTATGAGCGTTGAATTCAAAGCAGGGTGAAATGACCGTACAAATTCCTATTACGCAAGCCACAGCACATTGAATGGCACAAATTGCACTTAAGGGAAGACGGAGAATCGAAATAGGTTGTCCATGTCACTCTTTCCGGAGATGGTCGACTGAATCAAGGAGAAACGGGTATTTATGTTTTACTAGCACATTAATTAGGCTTTTTTTAAAAACAAATGTATGAATCACAATGTATGCATTGTAGGGAACTTGATAATTGTTTTTTTCACCCTTCTATCTGGCAACAAAACTGACACCTTTTTACAAGGAGTCATGTTTACATAGACCACAATACCTGCAGTCATAATGCAAACAAAAAACATAACTCTGATAATGTGCACAGTGCACATTATCAGCACAGTACACATTATCAGAGTTGGGTTTACCCGGATTCTTGCACAGGGAAATTGACTTTTCAGATCCATACGGCGTACAGCCCTTTCAATACGGGCACATTTTTTTTCGTCTATTTGTGTTTCTCCCTTGTAATGGGACTTTGTAGGATGAACGTTGAGATTTATAAGGATACGGGGTGAGCAATAAGCTCTGAATTGGTCTGTTATAAGTTAGGTGCTGATGAGGGGTTGACAGGTATGGCTAATACATTTAAATGAAATTCACGTGGATTCCAGGCGCGGTTCATCCACTCGGGGCGATGGGGCGCCACCTCGCCAAGCAGCTGGAGATGAGAAATTCTGTTTCTAATAAAAAGACTTAAAAAAAAAATTGTCGTGTTAAAAAATATTTAATGATTCTTTCAACGTGAATTGCCTAATGAAGGTTAACATTTTTAAGTTGTTCATGCGAGAAACCGTCCGCCCCGAGACTTCCCCGAGGTCAGAGATGTATCCCCCTTCATTCATTGCGATGAGCTTTGCATTTTAGCCGCGTCGTTTGAGACCCATTCAGGGCGGTGAAAAAAGTCGCCCACGGCTGTGATGACGACCTCACAACGCGAGGTCGCACTGTGAAGATACAGCAGCTCGCGCAGCCTACACGCTCTAGGTGACAGCGGTCGGGAACCTATGGCTCGCGAGCCATATATGGCTCTTCTGGTGACGGCATATGGCTCCCAGACAATTTTGAGTTGAAAAATAAATAAAAAAAATCAGTTTGGAACTGATTTCCAAATACTTGTGATATTGCTTAATAATACTGTGTCATTTTAAAGTTAACAGAAATTAGTTTTGAAGATAAATTTCACGGGTCACGGGGCCTCAACGCCTGCATGAAGCTCAACCTCACCACGTACGAACCAGACTACATGGCCATCAGCAAAACCATGCAGCACCAGAAGTCGCATTAAAAGTAAGACATATTTAATTTATTATACGTTAAAAATACTATATGGCTTTCAATGCAATATATTTAGAAATATTTGGCTTTTATGGCTCTCCCAGTCAAAAAGGTTCCCGACCCCTGCTGTAGGAGGAAACAACAGCAGGCAGCAGGTGCAGCGAACTGAGAATTAGCAACGAACAACGTGGTAGTCACTCCTAAATGTTCCATTTGAAAGGGGGACTACTGCGGGAGAAGTTGAATGTCAAGCAAACTGGGTCCTGATCAACCGAAAATCGACGTCAACCAGCCCTCAGGCGACCGGGGAAAAGCATCCGTGATGACATTTAGCCAGAGGCGGTATGCTAGAAAGGCCTGGCTATGTGAATACAGATCAAAGCCTTTTCTGTATGTGCTGGATGCAATTACCAGCGAAACGTCGTACTACTCAAAAAATGTAAATGTTGTGGTTTCACTCTTCAACACACCGGTGGGCTAAAGTAGTGAACTATTTGTCTTTTGTCAACGTGACACTTTTTTTGCTGATTGGCCGTGTCGGGTGGTGGAGGGTTACGACACATTTATAAATAACGCGATCTAACCCAAAAACGTTTATTATGAAGTATGTGGCTGTTAGGTGAGTCTCGCTAACAGCACTTGCCCCTACAGTCTGTTAAAGCTATACGGGGGATCTTTGTCTTTTTTATTGCACATTATGCTGTGTCTTGGTTGCCTTGGATAATTTGTTGAGTCGTGTCAGCTGATCTCTCATTGTTCTTTAAAGCTTTTAGCAGCGCCAAAGGGGTTTGGCAGTGCCAAAGGGGTATGGGGACATAATTTGAGTGCTTCGTTTTTTGTTTCCTATTGTTTATAACTGCCTACCGTTGGTAGGTACCGTTGGTAGGCAGTTCTCTAACTTTCACGAGAAGGCCAATAACATGACGAGGTTTTTCTTAATTAGAATACCATATGTTCAGAGGTCACTCACTCGCAACAGCTCCACCCAATGGAAATGTCATGAGCCGCCGCTGATGTATTTATGAACTCCACTCAAGCTCACATCTGCGTCGGAGACACGCACCACTGAACTGGACGGCTAACCACCTGTAAAGATGAACTGTTGTGACATTTTCCTTCGCCAGAAACTGCATGACACCATGCGGCCCTTTTCGCCACCATCCTTGAAATACCCAGACTGCTTTGCGCCTCCTGTGTGACGAATTTTACTCATGAGGTTGTTCTCGGTGTTGCCCACCGCCTTCCCGACAAACCGTCATTATCCTTTTCTTGGTTCTTTCGGTAAAGTCACGTAGAAGGGAAATAATAAAAATAAAACATAATAAAATACAATTCTCACGACGTTTCGGCCACAATGCAAGCAGCCGTCCTCAGGTGAAGAACAGGTCTGTCGTCATTCAGACGCTGTCTTGCGTTGTGGCCGAAACGTCGTGAGAATTGTATTTTATTATGTTTTATTTTTATTATTTTATCATTTCCCTGCTATGTGACTTTACCGAAAGAACCAAGAAGATGAATCCCTGCAGTCACGAAAGCTTTAAATCGAAAAATTTCGTCATTATCCTGTCCATTCTTTTGCGATTCCATGTAAAACAAATGTACAGGTAAACATTGGCAAATCCTATCTTGATTTGAAGCTTTCGTGACTGCAGGAATCCATACTCTTTGGTTCTTTCGGTAAAGTCACGTAGGTAGAAAATAAAAAAAATCACGACGTTTCGGGCGCAACAAAAGCGTCCGTCATCAGGTGGGATGTGATTGAGTTGCATGAGATGACATTGGTTAGATTGACTCAATTCACTTGGAACAATCAATGCAGTTCTAAAACCTGCCACGCTAGCTGACGGACACGTGACCATTCCTTGAACCGCGCGTGTCCACAATTAGCACTGCCCGATGTATTAATACCGCGTTGTATTCAGCTGTTTGGCTCACAATATGTACACACCGTTTCATTAACATCGACCAAGAAAGCCATTTGGCACCCCTCAAGTAAGATGTTAATTATTGACACCAATTACACTGACGCCTCTCTCATTTGTTTTTTTATTGCTGGCAGGTGCGTGAGTTTTGTGGCATTTGTGCAGCCATGGGCCTGGAGGTGTACTTCGACCTGTCTGCTTCCCCGTGCCGTTCTGTGCTCCTCCTGCTCAAGAAGGGTGGAATCGAGTTCACAGCTCATGCCAAACGCCTGGAGAAAGGTGCGTCGTGATCATGGGTGGCGCGTCTCGGGGGTGGGGGGGGGGGGGTGCGTGGCCCCCGGGGTAAATCGCACCGTGTGGGCCTTCCAATGTCTTTAAATTAAATTGAAATATTACATCTGACACCGTGACGTTGAAGCGCGAGGCCGCCCCCCCCCCCCCCCCAAAGCATGGGGCCCCCCAAAAGCCGTAGCCGAGGGTCGGCTGTGATGGCATCAGCTGTGTCCCTGTGAGCGTCAAGAGGTATCAGTGCATTCAGACGCTAAATAAACCAAATTGTACCGTAGCGTTAACATACGTTGAGGCCTTTGTAACACTGGGGGCAATACGACAAACATGTTATGTCAGTTATATCAAACACAAGTAAATGGGTTATTCTATTGTCAAAGTATTTATGGTTTTATTATAGTCAAACCAACAATGTTTACATGTTCATTATTTTGTATTTGTAAAATGAGTTTTGGTTCCACTATAAGGAATTTAACACGTTCTTGAATGTATCCCTTGGATACAATCTCGGACACATTCTGGAATTGAGAGGCATTTTCAAGGGGGTAGTGATCTTACGATCGTCTAAAAGCAAAGATTTTAAAATAAATGGGTGAGTTTAGCCTAGATCTGATTTTGGACTGCAACCTACCTTGCTCAAAACCCACGGTTTATTCTATTGGAGCATCTCACAACAATTACTCTCTGCTGTGCAGTAAACACATTGCCAATTTCAAATGCAGACCGTACAAACTGCTTTTGTCTTTAGTTTATTGTTCTTTCCCAGCACCTCCGATCAGCACGGTTGGCTACGTATGCTTGGAAAGAATTTAACATCCGTACATACATTATTCTTTGGTTCTTTCGGTAAAGTCACGTATAAAGAAAAAATAATAAATTAAATAATAGCATACGACGTTTCGATTAAGCATATATGTCTGTCTATAATTTTTTCTGGTTAGATTTTATGTCGCTATTTCATTATACCTGATGATGATTGCTTGTGTTGCAATCGAAACGTCGCATGCTATTATTTAATTTATTATTTTTTCTTTATACGTGACTTTACCGAAAGAACCAAAGAATAATTCCTGCAGTCACGAAAGCTCCAAAGTTAAGATGGATACGTACATACAATATACGTACGCATTTATATGTTCTGAGTCTTCTTAAGCCTCGTACAACTAAGTAATTACAACCACCATCATCAGGCGAGAGCCAGAGTTAATTGTACTGGAATTGTAGATGTTGTGGGTTTATTCTCCAACACACCGGTGTGCTGAACTAGTAAGGAATTGGCACGTTTTGTTTTCGTGACAAACTTTACGAGATTGCTGGGTCGGGTGGTGGCGGGTTTAATGACACATTTATATTCACGCGATCTAACCCAAAAACCTCTCGTCGATAATGTTGGTCGTGAAAGCCTACTGCGTGTTAAACTGATGTTGTTGTTTAACTCTATGACTCGGTTAACGTATGCTGTTGGTTTCCAGGGGAAAACCAGACAGAGGAGTTCGGCAAGGTGAACCCTCTGAAGCTTGTGCCTGTGATCGTGGACAATGGCTTTCGTCTCACTGAGAGGTTTGTGGAGTTGTTTCCACCTATCCACTCATACGGCTTCTATTTCAAACCTGACTTTAACCCAGGGCCCGATTGAGGTTCTTGTAGGCCTTAGTGCACTTGCGTCTCGTAGGCCTTCGGTGATAACTCTGCAGTTGGTGCTGCTGCTGCCCCCTTGTCACTACCTCCGCCGCGGTCACTCACTTGTTTCTCACGCGGTACTTCGTCCAGCCGCTTGGACAGATACCGTTACTGCTGATACGCTCATCGTTTCGTTTGTGCCCTCGTTCGATGGGAGGGCGCTGTGCGCTGCAGATAAAAAAAAATCTCGCAAAACTTCATCTCCAGTGGTAATTCATGTCACCTTTTATATAAAACAAAAGATTGACATTGACATGACCCTGCCTCTTTGTATATATACACTGTGCCTTTCCTTGCTGTATATAAATCTATGTATTCAAGAAGATGTACACACATTTATCATACAAACAAATAAACATGGTCACATTTTTGTTTTCGTAGGCCCAAGGCACAGTGCCTACTGTGCCAATTGCATAATACGGCCTTGCTTTCACCTCTCCTTAAGTTTCTCTGCCTCTTCTCCTGTCACCAAAACTACACCACCACTTTTACTAACCCCACTCAACCACTACCATCTCATATACACCCATATAATTGCTGTAAAGTGCCTTGGAATTAGGCGCTTGGCTGTGAGTGAGTTTTTAAGTTTGTTTTTTTAAATAGGAAAGGTCTCAAGCTACAAAGCTTGCGATACAAACACAGCAGGAGAACAACAGGCCTGTTTGTTTCACCTGATGGCGGTCGCCTGTGTTGCGATCGAAACGTCGTGATCTATTTATTTTCTATCTACGTCACTTTACCGAAAGAACCAAAAAGTATGATGGATTCCTGCAGTCACGAAAGCTTCAAATCAAAGCTTGTGATGTCAAATCTTCCGTGGAGCACAACTAATGTCACGTGATAATAAACAGGAATGAGTCCACCTCTCGTTCTATGTTATTCAGCAACATTTTCTTGAGCTGGTAAAAACCCTGGAGCAGTTTAACATGTCTGGCCTGACACCAACATCAGCAGTCTGGCACTTAAAACAATACTGTCAGGTTGCCAGATGTTCAAGGCAATAATCCTCCCCGAACATATGCGAGTTTTGGAACCTTTTTTTTTTACCGAGGGCCAAATATGACTTTCAAATGCCTTTTGGCGAGGTCCCAACATGAAGATGCACAGGATTGACTGAGAGCTTGATATAGTTGGGTAAAAAAAAAAAACATGTCCTCTAGTACCCGATCGGTGCAGCTAATATGCTTACAGTGATGGATAACACTGGTCAACACACTTTTTCTGGCATAAGGTATTCCAACGGTTTTAAGGTAATTTTGGGGTGCTGATTCCAAATCTCAGTTTTTGTCTATCACATCAGGTTTTTGAGATATCAAATATTGCATTTTCAATAAAAACTGCAGAAGAAAAATATTAAATAAATGTGGATATCTACATAAAATGATATTATAAACACACAATCCTACAAATTCAGCACCATATTTTAACACCAAAGCAGTCACTGACTCGCAACAACTTGCAATCATAAGTGACAGAGTTAATTTCGGGTAAAATCAATGAAATTGAGGTATGCCGATAGCATAAAAATGATGTGATAGAGCAATTTTGAGATCAGATTTGGCACCCTGAAATTAGTCTAAAACAGCTGCAAAAGTCCAGGCCAGAATGTTTTTTTTTGTTGACCAGTGTAATTATTGTTTGGGTGCCGTCTAGATGTGGTAGGCCTCGTGTTGCCTCTGGCCGTATGAAATGAAGTCGTGAGTCATAAGCGTTCGGGGTGCCATAGATTCCTCACCCCTGCCATATGGACCTGTTAAGTACAACACATACCTCTACAAAAATGCGGTATGACTCTTTTGGAGTTTCTCTCATCTTTCCTCCTTTCGAACGTTTTGCGCTGACAGCGTGGCCATCAGCAAGTACCTCGCTTGCCGGCACGGCTTGGCCGACCACTGGTACCCTGCCGATCTGCAGCGCCGCGCTCGCGTGGACGAGTACCTGGCTTGGCAGCACACCTCCATCCGGCCGCCCTGCTCCATGCTGCTCGTTCTTGAGGTGCAGAGCGCACGCACGTGTACGACAAAGATCCCCCTATGAGTTGACAGACTAAATTTCGATTTGAAGCTTTCGTGACTGCAGGGATTCATCTTCTTGGTTCTTTCGGTAAAGTCACGTGGAAGGGAAATAATAAAGTAATAAAAATAAAACATAATAAAATACAATTCTCATGACGAATGAGAACAGGTCTGTCGGAAAGACAGCGTCTCATTCAGACGCTGTCTTTCCGACAGACCTGTTCTTCACCTGAGGACGGCTGCTTGCGTTGTGGCCGAAACGTCGTGAGAATTGTATTCTATTATGTTTTATTTTTATTATTTTATTATTTCCCTTCTACGCGACTTTACCGAAAGAACCAAGGAGTTGACAGACGGTTGGGGCAAGCGCTGTTGGTGAACACCTCGTAAGGCTGACATGGTGCACAAGGAGGGATGGTGATGCCAGAACCACGCCCGGCCACCATTGTCTCCCCGCATGGAAGGCACTGGACCAGTTCGGATCTTCGTCACTAATGTTAGCTGTGAGCGCGAATGGTACTCGGGTAGTCAGGTTCGTAACACAGTGGGCTGACCACTACACTACCCCAACACGCGCACTTACGAAAGTGATCCCCATGAAGCCACATTAACCCGACTTGGCTAAGCGGCTTTTATTCCAGTTGGCTAACTGTCCACATTTTAGGAATATCGACAATAAACTGTAACGAAATTTAAAAAAAAGTCCAAAATCCTAAGACATCGACATGCAATTAATTCTGTCACAAAGGCAATGGCTGATAGCATGCATTGTTGTTAATTAGTAATATCAAGACATTCAAATACCGGGCATTCATAGGAATCCGACCACTGGTGTGCGCAAACATACTCGCTGGCGAATGTGCCGATTCCTGAACCACATTAGCGCTTAATAGTAATCACGTTCAGCCCTTTTGTCAACCACTGTGGGATGCAGGCCTCCCTACCCCGTCAGCAATCATGGAGCTTGTTTGACCATACGTCATCGTTCTGATCCAGCGCAGGTTACCTCCTAGCACGCGTGGGTTTTCTCCCACGTGTAAAAGCTCATTAATTGGCCGTTAACACCTGAATAAATGTAGGATCGCAGAGCTTGTGGGGGGAGGGGGGTTTGTTGCCGGTTCATCAGCTGGCTACCGTTCCCACTTATCTGTGGTTCCTCGCACATCTGAATTATTCTCTTGCTTCAAGTGTGACAAAATACCGTGCGGTACATTGCAAGTTTAAATAATAATAATAATTATTTTGTTCTGGGTACCAGGGCGTGCTGCCTGGCCTGACAGGGCAGCCGGTCCAAGAGCAGAAAATTGCCGATATCATGAAGGGCCTGGAGCTGTGTCTGAAGCACCTGGAGGCGTACTACCTGCAAGATGACGCCTTCCTTTGCGGAGACCAAATCTCTATCGCAGACCTCTTCGCCTACAGTGACCTCATGCAGGTACTGCCTGCAAACACGTGGGTCCTCTGGCTGCTTGTGCACCGTGCATACAGATGATCATTATTTTCTCCGTTTATCTTTTATCGGATTATTTAGCAAAACGCATGTTAATACAAATTTACATTTTATTTGTAAGACGCCTTCCACTGATGTCTCAAGGCGCCTTGTAAGAACAAGTTTAAGGAAAGGCCGAGAGAGAAGGAGGAGCTAAATAGAATAAACTAACTTAGAAAATGTGTTTTTGGACGAGACTTAACAGTATCCACATTATTCGATAAACGAATTTCCAGAGGCTAAGGAATTCCATGTTTTTTGGACGTGACTTTCCATCAGTCCCTCCCTCCACCCTGCCAGCCAGCAGCATTTTTTGTAATCGAGTATGATAATCCCATTGAGTGATCCGCACAATAAAATACAAGTGAGTTTAGGAGCACCCTTAAGACTGGAGACTTGAATCTGGAATTGTAGTACTTAACCCTACATTGTTTAAAAAAAGAATGTCATAGTCTTATGTACACGTTTTTTTTTTGCTTGACTTGTTTATTTAAAGTATTCTTTCATAGACAGGTACATTCTCACCTGATTTTCGTTGATGATGACTTGCATTTTGGATATAGTTTCTATATAAACAATGATTGTGCATCATTACAAATCTCATTCTTGGAGCTGTATGTTTTCTTGGTGTATTGGACTACTCCTGAGGACCCAGCCTCTGATTAAAGTAAATAAGGAGTGGCGTGTTACCACTAAATACGTAGACTTAGGAAAATGTATTTAATTGTTTCAGATTAACGGTACATCCAGATTCCCATGTTCTGTTAGAAAAGCCTGTAATTGGAAGCAAGGTACTTTAAAAAGCTGCGTTTAAATCATTATCCAATTATGCTGTTAAACATTCGCCAACCTCTCCTGGCCAGTGTCATTCATATGAATGATTGTGCACTTGAATAATGCTCGTAAGACATCTTGGCCAAATTGAAGTTCACACGAAAATAACGTGGGAAAAATGCACAATTACATTTTGCATAAATCTTAGTGCGTAACTTAGGTGATCGCCATTGTACAAATCTGCTATTCCAAAGTCTTGGAATTCTGGGCCTTGCCATGGAAGTGGGATGGAAAGGAATGATGACAGTTTTGGTGCATTGGAGATTGTTGTTTTAAATGAAGCTGACGAAATGTTTATTTTAACACGTAGGCTTTCGCGACCAATATTATTAATAATCAACGTTTTTGGGTTTAGATCGCGTTATTTATAAATGTGTCGTAACCCTCCACCACCCGACACGGCCAATCAGTAAAAAAGTGTCACGTTGACAAAAGACAAATAGTTCACTGCTTTAGCCCACCGGTGTGTTGAAGCGTGAAACCACAACATTTACAAATTTTGAGTACGACGTTTCGCTGGTAATTGCATCCAGCATCATCGGGCAATTCATCGGGTACTCAAAAATTGTAAATGTTGTGGTTTCACGCTTCAACACACCGGTGGGCTAAAGCAGTGAACTATTTGTCTTGTCAACGTGACACTTTTTTACCGATTGGCCATGTCGGGTGGTGGAGGGTTACGACACATTTATAAATAACGCGATCTAAATCCAAAAACGTTGATTATAAAATGTTTATTGTACAAGCGATAACGACTTAATTCCTATTTTTTTATTCCGGCAGCCCATGGGAGCAGGGCACGACGTTCTCAAGGACCGGCATAAGCTGTTGGCGTGGAGACAGAGGGTGGAGACCTTCCTGGGCAAGGAGGTTCTGGAAGAGGTGAATGGGAAGATACTGAACAGCCATTCAGCCCTGCTGGACATGGAGCCAGCTGAGAAAGAGGGCCTTGCCCAGTACCTGTTTAGTAAGCTCAAAATGGCAGTGTGAACTGAACGATGTTGGTACCAGTAATCCCATTTAATACGAAGAGGCCTGTAACAATTTACGACTTCTGAGCCACCACAAACAGTAAACTTTAGAAATAAATGTAATTTATGTGAGCCGTGGTATTTTGTTACAAACGTTATTTTTCAAGTTTACGCATGCTTTTAATAAATCATGCGCAATAGTTGTCACAGCCACCATTTTCAATATGCATTCCATTTAGCTAATTATTATTAATCACCTTAACATTGTTTTATTTTCATAGTTTTATAAATAATTTAAATAACTGTTCTGGAATAACACAAACAATAGCTGTGTAATGGGTCAAGCAATACAGCATTATTAATAGGGTTTTATAAAAATGCCATGCAGTACTTATTTTGACCATCATCTACACCTAGCAACAGACTGCACTTTACAGAAACTTACACTGGTAACAATACTGATATTAAACATTCATGCACATCCTTTAATAATGAATAAATGACTCCATCAGATGTATACGCATACAACGATCCCCAGAGTTGATCCAATGAGTCTGTGATTGAGTATGAGGCGACTTGGTTCTCCGTGGAATAGAAATGAACGCCCATTTGGTTTCGCCTTGGAGGACTTCAGTCCCCCAAGCTGATTCTGGGCCTGAGCCACACGAATCTGAGTGTTGGAGCCATCAAATGGGGAGATAGTGAAGCATTGCATCCTTAAGGGACAAATTATTTAGCAATTACCTTTTGAACACATGGTAATAAATATATGACGTTATTTTTGTCTGTATTTGGCATATTTTTATGGGAGTGTGATCGCTTTTGTGTCTTGTTTATTACTGGTAGGAACCTCCTGGTTCCACCAGCTCACAGGGGATTATTGTGTCCATCCGTCGTGCATCCAAAAATGGGAGGGGTGGGGCTTGGTAGAGAGGGGAGGGTGGGGAGGGGCCGGGTGGGGAGGGGAGGGTGGGGAGGGGCTGGGTGGGGAGGGTGGGGAGGGTGGGGGGTGGGAGGGATGGGGCTGGGTGGGGAGGGGCTGGTCACCCCGTGGTGTCCTTATAAAACTCAACGTTTAACCTACTCACGCCGGCTTGTGCACGCCCTCACAGTCGGGCATATTTGCGGAATACACCACGCCGCCGTTGACCCTGGCCATTGACCGAGCAACCCAACGATCCTACCAGCTCCTTTCGCAGGAATGTGTTTTGTTTAATGCAGCAATAGAACTGCCAGAAAATAATAAATAAATAGTTCCTGCTTACAAATGCAGCTGTTACAGAGATGGAGATTAAAAGGCAGACATTAGATTGGAATCGAATATTAATATCTGTTTCAGAACTCCTCAAAAGATATGTACACACTGCTTAAATAAAATGTATACGTATTGTATGGTAACATTTATATGCTGTAGAAATATAAGAGACAATGGATTGCAATAGTTGTTATTGACAGTTTGTGTTTTCTAATTAAAACATTGCTACCTGCCGTTGTTGTTGTCACTTGGAGAAAATACACGTGTGAATTGAAAATAAAAAAATTCAATGATCAATATCATGGACACAATTCATATGTTGAGCGATCAGAGTTAGTCGAGCTAATGGAAGAAGTTCAAGACTTGATTGGTAACCCACACACATGAGAATATTATCCCATGGGCCCAGTTCATGACCTATTTTTTTTCAAAATTTTACGAAAATTCTGCCATCAATACATTTCCCAAAATGAATTCTGCCCCTGTTCATGGAAATGTTGATGTCAAATTCCCAAGAGGAATTTGTGTGACGCCATTCTGCACCACCAACTATGAACCCTAGCAACAAATACAAAATACACGAACAGATTGTATGAATTTGTCACATTTCACAGCGTTTGTAATTCTGCCTCTGGAAGCGGGTCATGGAAGTTGGTTAATCTTCTTGGTTCTTTCGGTAAAGTCACGTAGAAGGAGAATAATAAAATAATAAAAAATAAAACATAATAAAATAATTCTCATGACGTTTCGGCCACAACGCAAGCAGCCGTCTTCAGGTGGAGAACAGACTCTGCTTTCTCGACAGACCTGTTCTCCACCTGAAGACGGCTGCTTGCGTTGTGGCCGAAACGTCGTGAGAATTATTTTATTATGTTTTATTTATTATTATTTTATTATTCTCCTTCTACGTGACTTCACCGAAAGAACCAAGAAGATGAATCCCTGCAGTCACGAAAGCTTTAAATCGAAGTTGGTTAAGTTTCGACAATGTCGTCCCTCTTGCCCTATGTTCACCCTGGATGCAATTTAACCTTGCCCAGTTCATCCCATTCTGCGGTGCAGAGTCCACCGTGTTAGAATGTGGTCCACAGAGGGTAAAATTAGCCACGCAAGTAAAATTGTGGAATGCGGTAGCCATTGCTAATAAAACGCTGCAACGGACAATTAATTGGGCCCTGTATATCTCATTGTAAATGTGTTTTGGTCGGTTTGAAGTCTGCGTATAAAATGAGTGGAAATATTCCCGTGAAATTTCTGTTATTGGAACAAAAATTTAATATTGTACAAGATGGCGACTTATACATTACACTGGTCAACAAAAAACACATTTTTTTCTAGCCTGGACTTTTGCAGCTGTTTTAGACTAATTTCAGGGTGCTGATTCCAAATCTGATCTCAGATTTGCTCTATCACATCTGATTTTTATGCTATCGGCATACCCCATTTTCATTGATTTTACCCGAAATTAACTCTGTCACTTATGATTGCAAGTCAGTGACTGCTTTAGTGTTAAAATATGGTGCTGTATTTTTAGGATAGTGTTTATAATATAATTTTATGTAGATATCCACATTTATTTAATATTTTTCTTCTGCAGTTTTTATTGAAAATGCAATATTTGATATATCAAAAACCTGATGTGATAGACAAAAACTGATGCCAGATTTGAAATCAGCACCCCAAAATTACATTAACCCCGTTGGAATACCTTATGCCAGAAAAAGTGTGTTCACCAGTGTTATCCATGCTGCCTGCTGTTCCGTGCATGATCGTTCATTTCTCTCGTTTCTTATCATTTCTAAGACCTCTTTAAAGTTACTTAACTATAACTTGTTCTGGCCAAATGCTATATATAAGCACCAGTGCCAAGTTTTATCATGCGTTGCACTTCCGTGGACATTACACAACATTCCACGTGGTTCGGATGGGGGTGGGGGGGTTGAGGGGGTGAAGGGCGAGGTCCAACAGGATATCTAATCCGTGAAAAAAACTCCGTAAGAAGTCCGACTCTCCAGCCGGGGCCAACCCGATCGGTAAGTACGATCGGGCGTTTTTATATGCTGTGTTGAAGGCTCGTTGCCCGAAACGTCGTATTTTCCTTTTGAAGGCAGCGTTACTGACGAATGCATTCACTTGTTCTTTGGTTCTTGCGGTAAAGTCACGTAGGTAGAAATAAAATAGAATAAATCACGACGTTTCGATCGCAACACAAGCGAACTTCATCTGGTGGGACAACCATAGCAAGAAAATTCTGAAGTCGGCTTGTGTTGCGATCGAAACGTCGCGATTAGTTTGATTTAATTTCTACCTACGTGACTTTTACCGAAAGAACCAAAGAGTATGGATTCCTGCAGTCAACAAAAGCTTCAAACCAAGATTATTGACTTGTTATTTAGGCTTCGTGTGTAACCATTGCCGATGCAGTGGTGCGTGACGTAAAATAATATAGTTTAGTTCATTCAAATCTGTAAATCATGAACCAATCCAACAATGATACCGTGGGCTGGAAAACAACAACGCTGTTTCGTCTTCTTGGTTCTTTCGGTAAAGTCACGTAGAAGGGAAATAATAAAATAATAAAAATACAACATAATAAAATAATTTATTTTGATTATTTTATTATTTCCCTTCTACGTGACTTTACCGAAAGAATCAAGAAGATGAATCCCTGCAGTCACGAAAGCTTTAAATCGAAATTTAAAGCTGTTACGTGTTATACTGCTCGTGCTTTTTTTAATGCAATAAAATAAAAATGATCACGCGTTAACTAGGGGACAAAATCCGTCTCATTATTTAACAATCAGAAAAAAATTCGTTTTTTTTAAACCAAATACATTCACATAATGCATATATTGTTTTCACTACTGTACAGTGTTTGAAAGGAAACATTGTCTACTTATCGACGGTATCGTGTCGTTGAGATCATAAACAACGACACGAATGGCAGACATCCCGGTCGCTTGATTTGCCATCGTAATTCTGAATTGCCGCAGCAGCAAGCAACAACAACGACACGAACTATCTTAATTTTGGAGCTTTCGTGACTACAGGAATTATTCTTTGGTTCTTTCGGTTAAGTCACGTCTAAAGATAATTTGCTATTATTTTAATTTATTCATTTATCTTTAGACGTGACTTAACCGAAAGAACCAAAGAATAACGACACGAACTCTATCTCCAGAAGTTCTCTCTCGTGGCCAGCAGAAGCTCCGGGACATTGCCCCCCCCCCACCCCCCACTGAACTTAGGGGCCGTCCATAAATGACGTCACGCGATTTTGGACGATTTTTGACCCCCTCCCCCCCTAGTCACACGGCGTCACAAAAAGTCAGACCCCCCCTCAGATATGACGTCACAAAGCTCTGCCCCACCCCTCCAACAATATTTCTATTTTGAAAATAAAACATGCTTCAAATCGCTTTAAACTATTGTCATTGTAGTGCGTATTTAATATGGTGCTGCACTCTGATGTTGTAGGAGAAAACATTTATTAAAACGTCTATTTTAATTAAGTAGAACGTGTTGTCTATATTTATTTAAAGTTGCGCATTTTGATGCGACGTCACATTTCTCAAACCCTCACCCCCCTCGTCACACATCGTCACAAATGTCTGACCCCGCCCACCCCCCTAGGTGCGTGACGTCATTTATGGACGGCCCCTTATACGTATTGGCCGTCTTACGCAGTGGTTCTTCTTCACCTGGTAGGGTACAGGTATCCCCTTGGGGTTGCGAGATGCCCTATTCTGCAGGTGCGAGACATTAGCCAGATTGCTTTAGAAAGTGTAAATTGTCGAAACAACAAACTTAGCACTGCTACTATGTGTCACCGAACCCCACGTATTTATTAACATTATACAAAAAATTGTTAACGAAAACCAACGATCTTCTTGGTTCTTTCGGTAAAGTCACGTAGAAGGGAAGTAATAAAAATAAAACATAATAAAATAGGTGAACCTGAAGACGGCTGCTTGCGTTGTAGCCGAAACGTCGTGAGAATTATTTTATTTTATTATGTTTTATTTTTATTGTTTTATTACTTCCCTTCTACGTGACTTTACCGAAATAACCAAGAAGATGAATCCCTGCAGTCACGAAAGCTTTAAATCGAAAAAGAAAACCAACGAGTTTGCAAGACTGCAGTGTAAAGGCTAAATAAGAATCACTGCCACACACACAGAGAGAATAAGAATAGCAGCAGTGACATCGTGTTGATTCTAGATTTGAAGCTTGCGTGACTGCAAGGATTCATACTCTTAGGTTTTTTTCGGTAAAATCACGTAGGTAAAAAATAAATAATAAAAATAATAGAAATAAAATAATAAATCACGACGTTTCGGGCGCAACACAAGAAACAATTGTTTCGTGCTGTGGTTGTCCCACCTGATGACGGACGCTTGTGTTGCGCCCGAAACGTCGTGATTTATTATTTTATTTCTTTAATTATTATTAATTTTAGTATGTATTTTTATTATTTATTTTTTACCTACGTGACTTTACCGAAAAAAACCTAAGAGTAAGAATCACAGAATAAGAATAGCAGCAGTGACACAGGACTTGGCTTTATCCATCGCTCCACCCCAGGGCATTGATTGGTTCAAGTTCAAGTTCATTTATTAGGTATAGCCCTGTGAGCCATTCAGCTCTTGGGGTCATCACCGACGCGCGTGTTACGTTTGCCATGTACGTTGAACTTCGTTCGCACCGTACGTAGCCAACCTTGCTAATCCGCGTGCATGCACGTACGCGTGCTGAATTTCTTTCGCGCTGTACAAGGCCAACATTGCTCATCTCCGTCGGTGCGTGGGTGATCGATCACTGGCACGTTCATCAGTTTCGACTTGGCAGTGTTTTGGGTGGCGGGGGAGGTGACACATCTTCGGCGTTGACAGGGGCAACAGAATACAGGGACCAATAGCGTCCTGTACGATTTAAGTAAGTGTTTGCGGTGTCGTCGTTGTTATACTGTTTAAACATATACTGTATATATATTTGTATACGTTGAGAAAAGCGCCTAACAAGTGCACTGTTGTTGCTACTGCGATCGTTGAGCGATGCTCACCCACCAATCCCCATCTCCTATGTATGGGATCTGACAATAATACACATGTTCATATGTTTCAACGCCAAATAGACACCGATTAGAATGCATCAAGTCTGCTCTAACCGCACGTATTTGCGGTACAAACATATACAGTACTTCATCTTCTTGGTTCTTTCGGTAAAGTCACGTAGAATAGAAATAATAAAGTACGTGACTTTACCGAAAAACTCCAAAAAGTATGGATTCTTGCAGTCACGAAAACTTCAAATCGAAAAATGCAATACAGTTATTGAAGTACATTCACAATTAATGTAGTCTATAGAATGTATTTTTTTATTGAAGTATGCATATTTCTACAATCACGTAAATAACGGTTATTGTGGATACATCAGGAACAGCATTAAGTTTGCATGCATAACATAACCATTATTTCAATGGCTGGGCTCAAACACGCAAGTCATGCTACACGATGAAGAAAAGATCTTTGTAATTTATAGTTATTTTTTGAGTGAATAAATACCATGCAGCACAAATATTTCTAGAGTATGAAATAAATTTGTGTTTCTTCCCCTCCCCCCCTCCTTCCAAGCAATGGAGGCCTCTCATACCACCAAGAGAGCAAAGCGTGCTTCTGCCCTGCAAAAGCAGACGGGAGCACTTTCTTTTCACATCCGACCGTACGAGGATAAAGATTTCCATCGTGTACGTGAGCTCTTCTGTCAAGGAATGATGGGACTGGCACGACCCCTATTTTACAGCACAGTGAGTCGCCCATCAAATCTGCTGATAATGGTCGCCACTCTGGCTCTGATTTACATCTGTACCTCCTCACTCTTGGCTGCCATCGGAGGAGTAATGTCGGTGCTTCTTGCCCTCTACTACTGCTGCTGGTTTGCGTACAGCTCCTACGTGACGGCCATGCTGAACTCACAAATGGCAAACATACGGGAGCATTTTGTGGAGCGTCCCGGCTCCTGTTTCTTGGTGGCTGAGACCACCTGCTGCGACGAAACCACTGGAAGGGGCGGAGGTGGAGACGTCGTGGGAACTTTGGCGCTAGTTTCAAGCACGCAGGACCCCGGTGCGTGTGAGATGTTCCGCATGGTGGTAGACGATCGCTACAGCCGACGTGGAATCGCCTCGTGCCTCGTCGACGCGGTGCTGCAGAGGGCACGGGAGCACGGGTATCGCCTCTGCCAGTTGAAGACCACGATGGTTCAGCGCCCAGCCATTGCCCTGTATAAGAAGAAAGGTTTCGTCATCACAAAAGAAGCACTGTACACGAATGGACATTCATTTTTCATGCTTCTGATCAAATTGATCATTTACGAAATGGAATATGTTTTTTGAAGGCTTTCAATGATCAAAAGCATTTCTGCAATTGCTGAAACGTGGTGTGGTATCAAGAACAAAAATGACGGCTACGTTTTTCTTGACTATCCTAATGAATATACGTGAAGTTTAAATGATTTCGGTGTGAAGAAAAAAGAGTGGTTAATGATGCGTTGGTAATCATTTTAGCAAAAAATTTTTTTCAAATAATATATTTTGCAGTCAGTGGCGACTGGACATTCGGAGTGAGTGGGGATAAGCCACACCAGTCGAAATAGATAAAATAAAAAAACACAAACGCGCACATTTTCAAATGTGTACATTGAATATCACTTAACGATTTACACGAGCCACTAGTGTGAAAGTTGTGCCTGGGGCTCCGATACACCAGAGTTGAACTATTTTTGGTAATTATATTAACATCAGCACTTATAATATATAATCAGTTCATATTGTGTACGACGGTTTACGACCAACGAGGTGTATGCAACACAACGATTCACGATTCAATAAAACTTAACACAAATCCACTTCGTGTCGCATCGTCTGTAATCTACACCCTACGAAGTTCACTTCACGCAGCTCCGTCCCATGTCACTCACGCCCGTCAGCTCCCCACACCGATCCCGTCATTTCCCCAGGGCTTCCTCCCTTGACCCTTCGCTCCAGTCCTCTTATACCCCATGTCTCTTTCCCAAGGACCGGAACACAAAAATAACGAGAATTGTTTCAATTTATTCTTTGGTTCTTTCGGTTAAGTCACGTCTAAAGATAAAATAATAAATTAAAATAATATTATTTTAAGTCACGTCTAAAGATAAATTAATTAATTAAAATAATATTATTTTAATTTATTATTTTATCTTTAGACGTGACTTAACCGAAAGAACCAAAGAATAATTCCTGCAGTCACTAAAGCTCCAAAATTAAAATTGTTTCAATTTTCGATTTCGGTAGTAAGTAAAAAAAAAACAACTCAATATTTCAAGAGGCACAATTGCACTTGTGAATAACATCACCAAGGGGTCCTTGATAGAGCCACTTGCGATTGGGAAGCCGCGGGTTGCTGGCCCCTTTGCCTTCGCCCCATCTCTTCTCTCCTGCACAATGCACGGGCATAATGACTTTAAATCCCCCGCCAAACCTCCTACGCATTTCACAAGTAATACTAATCGCATATCTGCATTTCCCATAAATGTGCTAAATTCCTCTTGATATGCACATTATTTTGTCAAGGCGCCCTTCCCCCCTCCATCCCAGCTTAAATAGTCGCTCCAAGCCTGGAGTGTGTCATTCAGACTCTGTCTACTTGACAGACCTGTTCTCCACTTGAGGACGGCTGCTTGCGTTGTGGCCGAAACGTCGCGAGAATTATTTTATTATTTGTATTATTTTGTTATTTCCATTCTACGTGACTTTACCGAAAGAACCAAGAAGATCTTCTCCCCTCGTTCACAGCACCCCACGTCACCCTAGGTCGGCCGTTGGTCTGTCCCCTATCTGTCATCACTTTGTGTCAACCTCACGTCACCTTCTATCAAAGTCACGTTAGGGGCCGTCCATAAATGACGTCACGCGATTTTGGACAATTTTTGACCCCCTCCCCCCCTAGTCACACGGCGTCACAAAAAGTCAGACCCCCCCCTTAAATATGACGTCACAAAGCTCTGCCCCCCCCCCCAAAATAAAACATGCTTCAAATCGTTTTAAACTATTGTCATTGTAGTGCGTATTTAATGTGGCGCTGCACTCCGATGTTGTAGGAGAAAACATTTATTAAAAAGTCTATTTACTTAAGTAGAACGTGTTGTCTATAGTTATTGAAAGTTGCGCATGTTGACGTGACGTCACATTTCTCAAACCCCCCCGCCCCCTCGTCACACATCGTCACAAATCTCTGACCCCCCGCCCCCACGAGGTGCGTGACGTCATTTATGGACGTCCCCTTACCACACATTTTCAACTCACGATGAGCAGTTGCTACCCCCTTGTGGTAATGTTCAAGGAGGTGTTCAGGTTAAAAGAAAAACCAAACGTGCACATGCATGCGAATTAACGTCATGCAGATTACACGAAAAGTGGGGCTGACTTCCCTTGGACGATGGTCAAGAATCATTTAACGGGATTGGCAGCCGGGGAACGCAACGCGACTTGAGACAATATAGGCACCGGGGAGATGGAGTGATGGAATCGGTTCATTCTCGAGTGTTTTTTTGGGGGGGTTAGTTCGCGTAAAGATAAATGTGTCTCTAAACCACGCCACAACCGACACAGCCATTCAGTAAAGTTTGTCACGTAAACAAAAATGTGACAATTCGTTACTATTTATAATCAACGTTTTTGGGTTTAGATCGCGTTATTTATAAATGTGTCGTAACCCTCCACCACCCGACACGGCCAATCAGTAAAAAAGTGTCACGTTGACAAAAGACAAATAGTTCACTGCTTTAGCCCACCGGTGTGTTGAAGCGAATTGCCATATGATGCTGGATGCAATTACCAGCGAAACGTCGTACTACTCAAAAATTGTAAATGTTGTGGTTTCACGCTTCAACACACCGGTGGGCTAAAGCAGTGAACTCTTTGTCTTTTGTCAACGTGACACTTTTTTACTGATTGGCCGTGTCGGGTGGTGGAGGGTTACGACACATTTATATATAACGCGATCTAAACCCAAAAACGTTGATTATGAATAATATTGGTCGCGAAAGCCTACGTTTTAATTCGTTACTAGTTCAGCACACCGGTGTGTTGGAGAGTAAACTCACAAAACAAATCTCTATTGTGGATATTGATCGCAAAAGCCTACGTGTTCAACTGGTAAATCAGTCCACGTGCAGGAGTTGGCATGGATTATCGCATCATAAGATCGTGAGAGGTGGCAGCGACTTGGCTGAGGCCTTCATGCAGCAGTGTATTGATCATTGCCGCTGCTGATGATGATGAGAGCCCATTCGATCAGTTCGTGCGCAGAAGCGAGACATTTTGGCATCCGCTGGGACTGTGACGAACGGAAACGCCATGGGGAAATCAGAAATGCAGAGAAAATTTGACTGAAAACGTGTAAGCTGATGATGATGGGGGGTGGGGGGGGGTTAAACCTGCAAGGGGAAGACCATTGCCAATTATAACAATAGCCCATTGAAACTAAGTCCTCTCTTGAAATTGCAGAACGCAAACGTACATCATAATAAGGGTGTAGTGAAAACAGCAGAAATGCATGGGAGTGGTCTCACTTTGTAATGGAGATGAAACTAACTCCTCTTACTCTTTAGTTCCTTCAGTAAAGTCACGTAAGAAAGAAAATAAATTAAATAATAGAGGACGACGTTTCGATTGCAACACAAGCAACCGTCATCATGTAAAATACAGACACGGAGACACACAGACAGACACAACATAGACACACAGGTCTCTGTGTGTCTATGTTGTGTGTCTCTCTCTGTGTGTCTCTGTGTTGTCTCTCTCTGCTTGTGTGTCTGTGTGTGTCTGTGTTTGTCTCTCTCTTTCTCTCTGTCTCTCTGTGTGTCTCTGTGTTGTCTCTCTCTGTGTGTCTGTCTGTGTGTCTATGTTGTGTGTCTCTCTCTGTGTGTCTATGTTGTGTCTCTCTCTCGCTGTGTGTGTGTCTGTCTGTCTATGTGTGTGTCTCTCTCTGTGTGTCTCTGTGTTGTCTCTCTCTGTGTCTATGTGTGTGTTTCTCTCTCTGTCTCTCTGTGTCTATGTTGTGTCTCTCTCTCGCTGTGTGTCTATGTTGTGTGTCTCTCTATGTGTGTCTATGTTGTGTCTCTCGCTGTGTGTCCATGTTGTGTGTCTCTCTCTGTGTGTCTCTGTGTTGTCTCTCTCTGCTTGTGTGTCTGTGTTGTCTCTCTCTGTGTGTCTATGTTGTGTGTCTCTCTCTGTGTGTCTGTATTGTCTGTCTCTCTCTGTGTGTCTGTGTGTGTCTCCGTGTCTGTGTTTTGTCTCTCTCTCAAATGTAGTTCTACCTGATGACGGTTGCTTGTGTTGCAATCGAAACGTCGTATTCTATTATTTAATTTATATTCTTTCTTACGTGACTTTACCGAAAGAACCAAAGAGTAATTCGTGCAGTCACGAAAGCTTCTAATCAAACTAACTCCTGTTTTTTTTTGGTAATTCATCATTTATACCGACTTATGATTGTAGTTCACCAATATTGAACGCTGTAAATCCGCACGTGTCAACTCCGTGCGCATTAATTCTAGATTTGAAGCTTTCGTGACTGCAAGGATTCATATTCTTAGGTTTTTTCGGTAAAGTCACGTAGGTAAAACATCAAAATTAATAAAAAATAAAATCTTTATTTTATTTTAATTAATTTTGATTTAATTTTTATTAATTTTGATGTTTTACCTACGTGACTTTACCGAAAAAACCTAAGAATATGACTCAGTGCGCATGTCAAGTGCCACGTGGTTGTCGTGCTCTGCCCGCAATCACCAGGGGGAGACATCTCCGCATGTCATCGCATCGGTGGATACGTTCCACGTGTCGATTCAAATTAAAGGCCTTCCAGTATCGATGCCGATTGGAAGGTTAGGAGTCATCGATTGCCTTTGGGGCCGTCCATAAATGACGTCACGCACCTGGAGGGGGGGGGGCAGACATTTATGACGATGTGACGAGGGGGGGGGGGGTGAGAAATGTGACGTCACATCAAAATGCGCAACTTTAAATAAATCACAAAAAGTCAGGCCCCCCCTCAAATATGACGTCACAAAGCTCTGCCCCCCCCCCAAAATAAAACATGCTTCAAATCGTTTTAAACTATTGTTATTGTAGTGCGTATTTAATGTGCCGCTGCACTCTGATGTTGTAGGAGAAAACATTTATTAAAAGTCTATATAATTAAGTAGAACGTGTTGTCTATATTTATTTAAAGTTGCGCATTTTGATGTGACGTCACATTTCTCACCCTCCCCCCCCTCGTCACACATCGTCACAAATGTCTGACCCCCCCCCCCTAGGTGCGTGACGTCATTTATGGACGGCCCCTTATAGCTCATCGGATTCCTCCACTATAAATATTTAAATAAAATTTAAATTCCTACAGGGGGGAAGTGACGTCGATTCAACCCCCCCTCTCTGTGGGGTCGCACACGATTGGTCGGTCCTTCAATGCAGTTCGACCAATCAACGGCCACAAGCGCGCGCAGGCACGACGCGCTCTCGCGATTGGTCGGGGAGCGAGCCAATCGCGAGCGCGACGACCTGCCGTGTGCTTATGCGGTGTAGGGAATGTAAGAGCACAACGGTTTGCAATTTGTAGTGCAGTTCAGGACCAGAATTTTATTTGGGTCGCGGGAGGAATCCGATGATCTCTAAAGCTCTTTATTTCACACATGTCCAGTAGGGGCGGGTTAACAAGTTACAACAACAAACGCACGTTCGACAAATTACACCACCGTGTGTGTGTTTGGCCTTGAAAGGAAACAATACGTTCTTAATTGAGTTAAATTAACCATCTTCTTGGTTCTTTCGGTAAAGTCACGT